TCACTTAGAAAGCCCGTTAAAATAGAAAACAATCACCAAGAATTAGAGAGTGGAAAAATATATATATATATATATATATATGTATATAATCGATACTTACAACCCACAAGCTCACCGTTATAAGCATTTTACTAATTCAAGCACATTGTTGACTGTATGTAACATCAAAAAGGAGAGGCTCTCCATATTGATAGAAGTTCAGAGCAACTATATATATGTATATAATCGATACTTACAACCCACAAGCTCACCGTTATAAGCATTTTACTAATTCAAGCACATTGTTGACTGTATGTAACATCAAAAAGGAGAGGCTCTCCATATAACGCCTCTCAGCCAAAAGTCCTAACCAAAAGTTCGGCTAGTGTGAAGCTACACCGGATCAGAAAAAAATTTAAAAACAACGGGGTGAACTAGAACTCAGTGAGAACATTTTCGCTAGAGTTCCTAGATAACTAACAAAATAATAATAAGAATAATTCTCAGAATAACGAATTATAAGTTTTGCATCAAAAATTCAAAATAGCAAAATAAGATCCAAATGTCATAATATTATCGTCTTCAAGAAAGAATGCAGCAATTATATTTTCTTTCTTATGTGCAACTGGATATACTGTGACATTTCCTGAAATCACACCCTTTTTGAATCAAGGTAAACATTAAGAAAGAAAAGAACTACTAATTTGTACAAAATCAGAGGATTATTGTTTTCTCAATTTCACAGTCAATTATCAAAATCTTAATTCTCGATGAGTTATTCATGAATATAAAAGTCACCTCATAGGTCACACTAAGGCTACGAATTAGAGCCTAGTAGCAAGGGAATGCGTAAAACGCATCACATAACAGATAATTCCCGGGAATCGAATGCACTAACACTGTCATAGGTTACTGGCCAAATACAGAGTGGCCAGAACAAATTTTAGAAGGGCCAATATAGAGGGGGCCAAATAAAGGTGCATTCACCATATGACAGGCAGAAATAATCCATAGTGGACTATTTGAGGGTTTGAAAACATCGAGATCACATATCAAATGAGTAATACTTTGCATATCAGATTTTACAGATATTTTCAAATGAAATTGATAAGGTAAAGCTCCTCATTTCAGTTAAAACAGTTTACGGATTTTTACTTTTTCTTTTATCAGATACAAAGTCACGGAAAATCTTTGAATCCGTTAAACTTTTAAAATACGTTCCAAATACTTCATCAAAAACTTTCAGATAAAACAATGCCCACAATTATTTGAAAATTGCATGAGAACCAAATTCATTTTTCATATTGTACATAAAAATCAAATTTGCTTTTATATATTGTACGAATCTAACATCGTATTATAGGATAGACCACAACAGAAATAGGTCAAATCTTTATATACATGAAAATGGTATATTATTTATTTTTTGATCACAAGATAAATCAAATATAATACTCATGCAATTTTATACTATAAAATACTAGTGAGAAATGAACTCACCGCTAATGAGTACAGCTTTCTCAAAATACTACTTTCCTGATATCAATCTGAACCTATAATATAAATATAAGACTAAGATTAAACTCAGGACAAGTACATTTTATAGGATAATCATTGCAAAAATAACGTACACGCAGGTTTCTTTCTAATTTTAACAATTTACCTAGCTTAATTCCTAATTAAGTTTGAATTTTCTGGGTCTAGTTACAATTTACTAAACAGTAGGGTCCTCATGAATAGTTTCCATTCATTTTTTTATCTTTTGGACCTATATACAAATTAATAATCTTTCAGGGGACCCAAAACAATTTTTGTTATATAACTAAAATCCCCCCTTCTCTCTCTCTCTCCTCTATCTGTGCTTCTTCCCCGTTACTTTTCTTCTCATCAATTTTTTTTTCGGTTTCTTTCTTCTCCTCTCTCTCTCTCTCTCTCTCTCTCTCCTCTCTCTCTCTCTCTCTCTCTCTCTCTCTATCTCTCTCTCTCTCTCTCTTCCTCCTCTACGGTTCCAAGTTGACGCAGTTGCTCAAGCTCCGAGAAAAGTTACAGCCATTGGTGAGGCGATGGGAACAGTGCGATTTTTTTTAATTATTTTTGTTCTTTATATATTTTTTTGTTTGGGGCTGTTATAATACCTCTTTTCTGTGCTCCAAATATCCCCCTAACAATCACCAATCAAAGCCAAAGAATTACTATTTCGTATGTTGGTATTTATAGCAAACACCAAACCCAAACTGAACAGGAAACCAAACATGGGCCTGACCTGATACGCAGTCGACCGCCACGGTCGACCGTGACAAACGACAGAGCCCAAAAATGCATTACAGGGTCTCGCGGTCGATCGCGCCAAGTCCAGGCACAAATCCTGGATCCGTGCACGATTGCGGTCAACCGGCCTTGCACTGCGGTCGACCGCACAGCTCCAAAACTGAACCCTGAGATTCCAAAACCTGCTCTGATCAAATTTCTCGCTGATTCTACAAATTTAACAAATGTAAAAGACTAGACATACAAGGGGACCCCATTTCAGCAGTCACATGAAAACATATGTGAATTAGTAGTCGAGCTCCACTTACCACTTTCTCTTGAGTTGAGGGGAAAAAAAGGATAGATAGCATACGCCATTGAAGCCAGTAGACCCTGGATTTCTTGCTGATACTGAGGAACTCAGATCTGTCAATTTAAACGTTTTCCTCGAATTGGAGACTATATTACTTTCCTGTAAAATAAAGAAGGCCTTTCAATATTTTCCTTTGAGCCCTAATACCAAAGCACAAAAAATGAAAATAACACCTACAAGTTACACTCTAATTTCTTCTCTTTAGTCTTTACATTATTCTACTGCTGAAAGTAACTAAGATCTGCAGGTAACTAAACCAAATTCCGTGCATACATAATGACTAGAAAACAACAGCAAAATGATATGAAGAGAAACTTAATTAGCTTCCCAAACCCATGCTAGGACGCATATTAAAGGACACAAAAAACTGAAAATTCAGGCAGAGATCCCTTTTGCTGACCTGTTGTTGTTTGATTGCGGACTCTAATGGAGTATGCACATCTTCCCCTCCAGAAGGGACTCTCTTTCCTCCATTCCTTCCAGGTTCACTTGGTTTCTGGGAAGCAAAGAATTCTTTTGAAGAATGAGAAGCATCTGCGAGTCTCTTCTTGATTAGATGGCTAAGAGGAACCTCATCTTCATCTTCCTCATCAATTTCACTTGTGCGCTCCTTTTCCTTCTCTATGGGATCACGGGGATTTTCCTCTACATTAATCTCTTTTCCCTTGAAATCATAATAGCAATTTCCTTCTGAAACCATCGACGCCCGAATCTTGAGGTTCCTATTCTCCTCCGCAAGCTCGAAAATTTTCTCTTGAATCTCCCTCTCTTTCCTCTCAAAACCTGCAACTGTCTCACCTATGAGCCTCGACACCCGAGCTTCGAGCTCACAATACTTACTCTTCCACTCAAGAACCTCACATTGTGCCCTCTTCTCCCCGCATTCAAACTCCAAAAGCTTCTCTCTGAAATCTCTGTCTTTCTTCGCCATTTCTTCCAACAGGCACTTTAGGGTTTCTTGATCCCGGGCCTCTCTTTCTCTTAGAGTTTTGTTGTCTTCCTGTAGCCGAGCCATGACTTCTCTTTGCATGAGACACACCCTCCTTTGATTGTCAATTTCTTGGCTTGCAGCAAGCTTTGAGAGCTTCAAATGAGACTTGAGATCTCTGTATCTATCCTTTTCCTCTTCTAACTTGAGCTCAAGCTCGATGATGTTGTGTCTGAGGACAGAAGGAGACCCGTCATCACCCATGATTTTGTTTTTTGTTGGATGATCAGAGGATTGAGGGAGTGATGGAGAGCAGAGAAAGAGAACGGAGGAAGCTGAGAAGTTGGCAGATGGCAGAGGTAGGAGACGATAGTTATGGTGGAAGAATGAGGAAAGGTTAGCGTAAGCATGTGGCCGTGTCAGGTTTATTACTCTAATCGGAGGGTGATGAATTATTGTGGTTACTCTAAATAGACAATGATGAACCACTTTATTAAATTTTTGGGAAAATTGTTTGGAGCAACTCAAAATAATTGGGCCATGCATCCTCACCCCCGATCCAAGAATCATAACTCAAAAACCCTTATACAGAAATAAAAGTGCATGTAACCCCCAAATACTGTGTAAACTCACTGCCCAATAAATCCATTCCCAAATTACCTTTCCCAATTTAATACTCTCACAGTCCCTTTCTTCCTCCTTGAGCCTTTCCTCCTTCCCCCTCCCCCAACACGACAAGCCCTCGTCATCCTCCCCTCCGCCTTCGTTTTTCGTCTGAGAAAAACCCCTCACCCTCCCTCTCGCTCATCTTCTTCCGCGTAGAAAGGCGATGACTTGGTCAGCGGTGGCGAAATCGACGCAGACGCTGGGGGCCCACGACCTCCTCCTATGCTTCACCTTCTTCGCCGCTCTCAAGGTCGGCGATCGTACGACCTTCTCTTGGTGGTAATATTCCAATCAACCCCCCACCCCCAAAAATAATTCAAAACCTTTCGTGTTTCAACCCTTGTGCACGTGAATGGCGAATTTGATGCTATTTTCATCAATTAGTTTGTGATCTCAGCTCTAATTTTGAGTATTTCTGTACCAAGACTCTGCTGCTAGTCCATGTACTCCAAATCTCCACTGAAAATGCAGGGTCGTCTTTACCCCTCTCTGGTTGTTCCACGCGGCCGTTGCTCGACGGAGGTTCTCACTGTCTGCTCCATCCTTACCCCACGACCGCCACGTATGAAGCATATGTTGTTTCGACTGTCTTTCATTTCACTATCCTTACATTTCCTCACCACACAATGGTGCTCTCAGTCTTTTCTAAACTTCACATTTTGCAGGCTACACTTGACGAAGAGGAGAAGCTCGCAAAGCAGCAGGAAGAGACATTGAAAGCACACTACAATAAGTTTGGAATAATTGAAAGCACACTACAATAAGTTTCGATCATACCATTCATCGCCCATTGCCAGATTGAACCCATATTTACGTGCAAGGCGAGGGCGCTGCTATCTTGCATCACGCTGTCAATTATCCCAAACTTATTGTAGTGTGCTTTCAATGTCTCTTCTTGCTGCTTTGCGAGCTTCTCCTCTTCGTCAAGTGTAGCCTGCAAAATGTGAAGCTTAGAAAAGAATGAGAGCACCATTGTGTGGTGAGGAAATGTAAGGATAGTGAAATGAAAGACAGTCAAAACAACATATGCTTCATATGTGGCGGTCGTGGGGTAAGGAGACAGTGAGAACCTCCCTCGAGCAACGGCCGCGTGGAACAGCCAGAGAGGGGCAAAGACGACCCTGCATTTTCAGTGGGGATTTGGAGTACGTGGACTAGCAGCAGAGTCTTGGTACAGAAATACTCAAAATTAGAGCTGAGATCACAAACTAATTGATGAAAATAGCATCAAATTCGCCATTCACGTGCACAAGGGTTGAAACGCGAAAGATTTTGAATTATTTTTGGGGGTGGGGGGTTGATTGGAAGATTACCACCAAGAGAAGGTCGTACGATCGCCGACCTTGAGAGCGGCGAAGAAGGTGAAGCATAGGAGGAGGTCGTGGGCCCCCAGCACCTGCGTCGATTTTGCCACCGCCGACCAAGCCATCGCCTTTCTCCGCGGAAGAAGAAGAGCGAGAGGGAGGGCGAGGGGTTTTTCTCGGACGAAAAACGAAGGCGGAGGGGAGGATGACGAGGGCTTGTCGTGTTGGGGGGGAGGGGGAGGTCTTGGGGTCAGTTCAAGGAGGAAGAAAGGGACTGTGGGAGTATTAAATTGGGAAGGGTAATTTGGGAATGGATTTATTGGGCAGTGGGTTTACATAGTATTTGGGGGTTACATGCACTTTTATTTCTGTATAAGGGTTTTTGAGTTATGATTCTTGGGTCGGGGGTGAGGATGCATGGCCCAATTATTTTGAGTTACTCCAAACAATTTTCCCAAAAATTTAATAAAGTGGTTCATCATTGTCTATTTAGGGGCTATTTGGTTGGGCCAATATTATAGGAAAACTGTAGTTTTGGAACAAAAAACAACTTTTAGGACTTTTTTTTATTCCAAAAACTGCGTTTGTTTCCTAATTTTTTTAAGAAAAGGTTTGCCAAAAACCTGACAAATAGTTTTATTTTTTAGACACAATTTCCGTTCTTTTTGAGTGGAATTGGGCTAGAAATCTGACACCCGCTTCCAGCTCAGCGACTTTCCTTTTCTCTTCACGTGAAGAGCCCTGACCCGTACTCGATACCCTCACCGCCTCATCTTCTCGTTGCCTCTTCTCTTCTACCTTTCCCTCCTCCGTTTCGCACCGATTCAATAGAAAAATCAAGGAGCCTCCGCAACAATTGGCAGCAAATCGATCTAGAATGGTCGATTAAAACCTTGATTATCTCCTCGATGAAGCGTAGCCCTTGAATTCAAAAGGAATTTTCTGATGTTGGGGTTTTACAAGTCTTTGATTTTCTGATGATGGAGGTTTTCATAGTGCATGTCGCCTTCGTTAATGGAGGCGATCTTCTCTGATTCGGGTGTAGTCGAAACTCCTCTCTGATCTGAACTTCAGATCTGACGCCTTGATCTCTGGTTTAGGGGTTCAAGTTCATCCTTTGATCATCGGGGTCTACTCCACACCGACGATAAGGTACAGCCTTCATTGCGTTTTCTAATTTTTTTATTTTATATGATTTTTATAAATTGTCACTATTTACTTACTAATTGTAGGCCTCTTTTAGATAAGTCTGAGTTTTGGAATTGTCAGAAAAATTGAGTAAATTTATGGCAAAGTTTAGGGTATACTTTTACTGATTTTTTTAAATATACGCCAAATTAGGGTTTACTCCCCACAATTTTTGTAATAGTCAATTTTGTTTTCTATATTTACCCTTTTAGATGTTTATCTTTACTTGCTGATGTCTTCTGTGTATATGTAGGCTAGCTCAAAATATGGCAACAGTATGATTTTATTTAAAATATGAGATCGTGGTTGATAATAAGAAATTATGTTGTAGTTATATAATTTTACTATACTGAATATCCGCTAAAAGTTTTAGAATTAAAAATTCAATTTAGTTCATTTGTCTATGTATAAGAATGTATTTTGCACTCATTATAGATGGAAGATATTGATGACGAAGTGTTAATGAGGATATCGAGTAATGCTACTATGTCCGCCATCGTGACTGTGTTGACATGTGTAATGAGAATGCGTTGTAGAAGAAAATCTATCACCTATCACCATAGGGAGGGGAAAAATAGAAAATAGAGTCTAGGAATGCCCATATATGCCGCGTATTTGCTGGCTATAGTCACAGCTGTAGAGACTATGTTAGAATGAGGTCACGTGCATTTGAAAATCTTGTCAGAATAATGAGAGGGACGGGCCTACTACAGGATTCATGTGATGTTAAAGTTGATGAACAATTGCTCATGTTTCTTAATGTATTAGGACATAAAACAAAAAATAGAATAGTAAGATCACATTTCATAAGATCAGGAGAAACAATTTCTAGATATTTTAACAAATGTCTAGAAGCAGTTGGTTGTATACGGCGGCGGTTCTTGAAGCAAGTACCAAAGGAATTGGCGCCAGAGATTACAAGCAATCCTTTGTACTATCCTTATTTTAAGGTAATGCACTCATGAACATACCATGATCTACAGAAGTTAAATTGTTATCCTATTAAATAATAGTAAATTTTTAACATTATATAGGATTGCATTGGCATGATAGACGGGACCCACATTGACGCTATGCTTCCCGCTAGCCTTGTGGCCCGCTTTAGAGGCCATAAAGGTGTGACTCAAAATGTTCTAGCCGCCTGCACCCCAAATAAGTTATTTTCGTATGTTCTCGCCTGTTGGGAGGGGTCCGCAAATGATTATAGAGTACTACAAGATGCACTTTCAAGACCTCAACCTCATGGCCTGAGAGTCTACGATGGTAATTACTCATTAATGACAAAAATGGATATTCAATTGTAATTTACAAAGAATTTAATTATTTATGATAAAGTGTTGTTTATAATTGTAGGCAAATATTATTTGTACGATGCGGGGTACACCACCATGCCTGGCTTCATCTTCCCTTATCGTGGTGTATGTTACCATTTAAATGAGCACAGGGGTGTTGGACTTCTTGTTTTGATGATGATTTACAAACAATTTACTACTAATATTGTTTGTCTAGTGTTTGTACATTCCTATGTATTGTAGACAAACAACGTAGTTGGAGGATGGATGGAATAGAGCTTCAACGATCATATCCAAAGGAGGTTGGCGGAATGTCGGTGAAGCCTTGCTATTCAAAGTTCAAGATCCAAGTTAAAGCTTCATCCACGAGATTACCTAGAAGAGCTTATTGAAGATCAAGATCTAGCTTGCGTAATTTAGTTTAGGATTTATATTATGTGTGTTAAGTACTCTAAGCTCAATTATCTATACACACACATTTATTGGTTTCTTCGTATATATATAGTTATATATATATATATACATAAGTTTTGTTCTATATATATATATATATATATTTTTATATATATACATACATATGTTTTGGGTTTTCATGTTTATAAATATGAAATCACATATTTCATATTTAGTGGTTTGTAATAGACATATTTGTATTTCCAGTATTGTTGTATTTCTTAAGTTTGTCGTCGGGACTGGTTGTATTTATTATGTTTGTTAATGGTGGTTTGATTTTATCTTTACATTATGTGCCTTCGGTCTTACATGAGCTTTGTTCTCCATATTTTCACTATGTGATTTTATTGTAACAGGTCCTTCATCCTTTTAAGTATGGCCGAGTTTGATGATAGAAATGATGATTGTGATGCCACTCCCTCCCCTAAAACCCCTGTAGCTCCTCCTTCAAACTTGAGCATGAACTTCATGCCATTCCCTCGTGCACCATTCTCTGCTCCCCCTCCCCCACCCCCTCCATTTCCATCTTTCTCTCCTTACGACAGTAATTTTGCATATATGAC